TCGCTCTTGCCAAGCTTTCGAGCTTCTTCTTCCGCCTCTTTGGCAGCTTCTGCCGCGGCGGGCAGAGCCCAATCGGAGCTTTCCTCTGTGGGCTTCTTTGGTGGCTCGGTGCTGTTGAAAATCTGCTCGTACTCTTCTTCAGCAGCTTTCATGGCATCTCGTAGCGCGAGATTGGGATCTTCTTTTCGCAGCTCTCTCATTCTTCGAGCCACCCAGGCATTTTTGGCATCAGCCTCTTCTTGCTTCCTCTTCTTATCCTTCTTCGCCTTTTTATCACTGGAGGAGTCAGAGGACGACGATGCCTTCTTTTTCTTCTTGGCTTTCTTTTTGTCCTTCTTCTTCTTGTCTTTCTTCTTTTTGTCTTTTTTCTTCTTGTCTTTGGACTTTTTCTTATCTTTCTTCTTCTTTTCCTCACTCTCAGAGTCAGAGCTATCCGAAGAGCTAGACATGGCTCGCCAGCTGCGGCTGAACCTACACTGCGCTTGCTGGATTACGCTGCTCTTAGCTGTCCGAGTCTGAGCGTGAGCTTCGTCTTACCCGAGCACACCACTGCATGTCAGCTGATGTAGACCTTTCTGGGGCAAGACGTCACAATGTGTATCTATCTGTCTATCTGTTTAATCAACTGATAGGCGATCTTGGACCTTTTCTCAGATGTCTCATGACACCAATGGTCCCATGTTGCCCACCATCGAAACGCTTGATTCCGGGGCCGCGGTGGCCGTGGCGGGGCGTGGCTTTCTTCTGACTAACTAAAGCTAAGCACAGGAGGCCATCGCTTCTGGGTTGGAGGCCATCCCTACTAGGGTGGAGGCCATCGCTAGTAATTAGGTTGGTTCCAGGTTGGAGGCCATCGCTAGTAGGGTGATTTCACACCACAAACTCAGACGCCTCATCAACGCGCTCGAAGCGTTGCCTCCCAACGGCCAAAGAAAGCCCGAAAAAGGTGCGATGTGTCTAGTGGAAACACGATCGTGTTCGAACAAGATCGAAAGAACATGGAACATGGCAGAAGTGTGTGTGTGTGTGTGCTTTCATTTTTGTTCATACTTCATAACCCTTCTTCTCTATACTTAGGAAACCACAAGAGCCGCTGGTATTAAGAAAAGGTTGGGGATTTTTAGCCAGCCCTTTATATCAAACCCTCAGCATGCCTCAGCTATCTGACTGGAAAGCCCGCTAAAACTCCAATAGTCGTTCGCTGCCTGAGTCGTTCCACTTCGACGGTCGTCCTTTCATCCTCAGCGGCAAAATCCATGAAGGAAGAGAAACAGCTTTACAAAGGAACTGGTGCAACAGTCCATGAATTGTTTCTTATGCAAAAAAAATCACAAACCTTCATCTGTAAAGTCCCTTGTTGGTCCAACCAAATGTTCCTTTCTCCATGCATCTAGTTGCTCAATGTTTGTCTAAACATGAAAACCAAGAGGCCCGGATTCCAGCCAGCTGTGGACTCCCCCACTTCTCGAGTTGGAGCAAGAGGGTTGCCTTGCCGTTCGAACCACTGGATCACTCTGGAACAGTGCACCCTGTGTCAGAGTGTCACGCAAGAAAAAAAAGACCTGCCTACTCCCTGAGTCTAGTTAGGCAGGTGAGAGCTGTCGAATCAGTGTAACGGCCCCAACAGAACGGATTCCTCATTCCACACCCCGAGAGTCTCTTCCGCACAGCACCGCTGTTTTGCATCCCACACAAAAATAATGATCTGATTTTCCACCTAGGAGACACCCTCCAAGAAACATGTCAAAGAAAACAAGAACACAACGATTTGAGAGGTCGCGTTTACAAACACTGCGCCTGGACGAAAACAAAGATGTGAAATCAAACACGTGTGGTATCCAAGAAACCAGTACCAGCTTCGTCAGTTCGTGACCTTTTTGGAGTCCCATCCTCTGACCTTTTCCAGGCCTAAGTGACCTCAGACCAAGAAAATCGAGTTCAATCACTTTGAAGAACTAGGTATAGGATATGGTAGGATACTTTGAACCCATGCTCCCGGCCTTCTTTCGTAGGCAATCATCAGCGACTGCCCCATGCACCGCTGGCGGTAGACCCTGCAGGATTTGGAAGATCAGTGCATCTGGGTACAGAATCTGGGAACAACACCTCTTAGTCTTGGAGGATGTTAGAGAGGCAAAGCAGATCCCACGATTCCGTGAGGTCGAACATGACGGATTCCGTCGAAGCGACTGAAGCGACTGATGCGACGTACAGATTCAATGATTCAATGACGAACCCTTCACATCCAGCTAAAGCAAAGCAGTGCCAGTCCTGGTTCGGCACATTGACTCTGGCACCATCTGACTCCGCCTGCAGCTCCAAATTAAATTGGACAATTGATGATGATGATTATTATTGTTGTTATTATCATTATTATTCTTATAATTTTTATGATAATTATGATGATGACAATTGTAATTCTCTCTATACCGGGATCTTTCCAGTAACTTGATCCCCTCTCGTTGCTTCGGTCACTGATGACTCCCAAGTTCGGTCACTGGGAAGCTCCTGCACTGGTGCTTTCAGTCGGCCCATCGGTGGAGAAGAACAGGTTCAGGTCCAGACGAACGACTGTGTTTGTTCCAGGCGATGTTCCAATTGTTTTCAGACTGCTTTGGAGTTCCGACTGCCTTTTCGGTTGTTCCACCGATGATCGTGGTTCTTTGAAGAAATTCTTGTAAAGAGTTCGAGTGTTGAGACTGTTGTAGATGATGGTTCATCTGAACACGGACACACTGAACGGCACGTGGGATGTGCTCAAAGCTACAAACTTTGGAGAGTGCAAATCTGTTGGCGCTGAGCATGGGTATAGTAGGGCTAGAAGGACATAGACTATAGATGACTACAATACTACCTATGATAGTAACTAGGTGAAGAAGATCGTCTTCCAAACCGTTCAAGTTCAGAGCTGGCACCGCCAAGCTTCGCTGCCTCCTGCGCCGGTCGGCGGCTGGGTCTCCGAGAAGCGCGCGGCTCCTGAAGAGGCCGTGGAGGGTCGGCACTGGTGATGGCAGAACTCCCAAATGCCATGACAAGCCAATGAACCAGCTGCCAAGCGCCAAAGCGAAGGAGAAGTGAAGATCATACATATAGACTCTTGATTATATTTAACCCACCCAGTTGAATTGGACATCCGAATTCATATGGGGGCTTGACATATATCAAGAGTCCACACTATGCGGTCATTGATATGATTGATGGCTTCTGCGATTCAAGAAACTCTGACACGTGGGAGAGCTGTGAATGCGCTGCCTGGCCTCCGAACAGAGACACCCAAAGACATCCAGGTATAGCACGCCGCGGAACTGACCATGGCGAGTTCACGTGCGGCAAAAACGTGTCAAGCAGCAAACGCCCGGATGCAGTCGCAATAGCAACAAGATGCAAAAAAAGACAGCATGTGAAGTCCAGCCTGACATGGATACATGACGTCAACTTGCTAATTGGTCAAATATCAAAAAAAACGGAAAAAGCCAGGGAACGCACCTTCCCTGGTAAGGCCACTTTGTCTCCATGGCCCTGACGAGATGTGCCATGTCCATTCAAATGTATATCTGACGAATCAAAATCGCGAATGGTGATGAAGACTGTGTCATATGAAGAGGTCCATTTCAAAGTGATATGATATGACAATATGATATGATATGGTACGAAGACTGTATGATCTGTATGATATGAAGAGTTGCAATTGTCATCCCTACAAAACTGTGCTCAGAAACGGCCACAACAGTTCAGAATCACCTTTGAAACACTTAGAAAAATGATGAACAGCCGTGCTGTCTCGACAAGAAAAATATGGGATGTGGAAAAAGAACTGGCGCCCCTCCAAGTTCACTCGCGGAATCTAAATCTTTACTATCTTGAATCACTGATTTGGACTTCAGCTTCTGACCGTTGCAAGCCGCAAGCAGCCATAGAGCCAAGCAAGGTGAAGCGCCTCACGGTCTCGACACTGTCTGAAGCCGTCGTTACGGCACAAGCGTCGGCCATGTTCGACGAGCCGGCGATGGATCTATGGCTGTGACGAAGATCACCGGAACCATCCATTTGAGCCACACGAGCGCCTGGCGTTTTGAGCGCTAACTTCAGAAGTCCACACGTCAGATCACGTCAGATGAGAGACAGGCATAGTTTGAAAGCATGCAAGCAAAAAGACTGGACACGTGTGCGACCGTGCGAGCCTTGGGGAAATTACTGATGGTCTTTGGGTCAGCGGCAAGGCAGACCAAAGTGAGTAGGGGAGTGCCCAACCTCAGGATGCTCAGTTTTTCCATGAACTCTTCGTTCACATCCCGTATTGAGGCAAAGACTGAAGAGCCTGGCAGGATCTGGGAGAAAATAGATGAAAATAGAATGGCATAGAATGACTTCTTAATGCCGAATCTGTTGAGAATCATGTAGGCACGTGAAAAATCATGCCAGTGTCACCAGCGCAAAGGTCAGGATCCTGGCGCTCACCAGGACGTCTAACCTGGCGAAAGGGGGCGAAAGGGTTCAGCGACATGGGATCGCCCATGCAGATGTCACAGATCGCGAACATGGGATGTATCTCATTCCTTTCACCCTCTTTCGACGTGGGTTGGATCGAGGTTTGTCTAGTGGGCCACTCAAAACAGGGGGGACCCCGGTAAGACGACTCGCGGACCTCATCCACGCGCTACCCTCAACATCCCTTGGTACCTTGTGATACCGGGTATGAAGGGTGTAACAGGGGGGGACCCTGGTTGATTACCAGACATGGTCCATCTACTCGAAGGTTTGGATCTCCAGGTGCCATGACACACAGCCATTCTCTCATGTCGCCCCACAGCCATCATCACCCAAGCCTGTGGAGTGTCCCTTTCAACATACCTATACTCTTTCTTGCCACATCCAAGTTGGTACACTCCCGAAAACTAACATAGACCCTGACGTCCTGGCCCCCTGGAAGAGTGTTTTCCTCTACCAACCAGTGGTTTTCAGGGTCCATGTTAGTCTTTCAGGGTGTACTTCATTGTGGTTCAACTCCTTTTTTTGGCCCGTGGACATGTGTTTGGATTCATTGGATCCTGTCTCTCACGGTCATCCGGTCGGCTCATCATCTGGTCGTGTCTGACTAAGCATGACACTGAGCTCAACCGTATGGAGAGGGAGACCTCCCAGCTCCCTGGAAGCTTCAGAAAATGGACCGGTCTACCATTGGGCCACGGGGTCTGTGTATACATGTTCAAACAGAAAGGGGAGGACTTGTCGCACCACACCCAAGCCGTAAACACACGCGCGCGCGTCGCAGACGCCCGCGTGCTCGGCCTCCTCGCCGCGGCGTCCGTGACGCGCCGCGTCGGCCGCGTCCGCGTGACGCGCCTGATGATGAGCCAGGCGGCGCAGCTCACCACCGCCATGCAGCTGGCAGCGGCCCAGCCGGTCTTCGTTTCGGACAAAAGGACACCTTGCCCGGTCGTGTCGTGCGGATCAGGACACAGCCGGCCCAGACACGCTGGGCAAAGACCCATAAATGACTTGAAACATCTGAGATGGTAGATCAGTCGGAACCGCATAAGATAATAAGAAGCTTTTCAGAGGAGGTATATTCGAAAACGTCCTTCCATGATCTTCCATGTCCCTCCCTCCGACACTTCAGGTCATCAGGTCAGCACCCAAAATGTAGGCGTTGATGGACTGAAGCAGCTGGTTCGTTCCCATTGCCATGCTCCTTGGAGACGTTTTGATGGATTCTTCAGCATCCGGAAGCCGCACCCAACCAGTTAACAGCTGCCGGCTACGCCGGCAGCCAGCCACGGTCCAAAGATCTGAAAGACACGGACGGCCCAGTTCGGTCCAGTGCCAGTGCCTCCCTTAAGGTCCAAACACGCGACTGTAAGCATCGTAGGCCTTCACGTGCCAGCTATGCGAAGGATCGTCCGACAAGAATTGGTCTTATGGCATCGTATGGCAACTCTGCATGTGTTCAGGAATTCTGGCCAGCCCGGCACCCCGTGATAAGGAATGAAATGGCTGTGAGTCCCAAACCTCACCAGGGTAGGTTGACCTGCCCAAAGGTCCGACCTCTGTTTAGTTTTATGTAATGTTCTCTGGTAAGGTCGCCCATGAATTACGGCTTACGCACCGAAATTCCGCGTGTCGTCGCTGCCATTCGGCTGGCGCATTTCGGCTGACCTGCCAGTTCGCTTGCAGGTCTCTGTACAGCTGGATGTGCCTCAGGCGCCAGTTTTCGAAGCGGTTGGGCACCGTGGTTGCACAAGTTCATCGAAGAAGGCTCTATATTTCCAGCTGAATGTCTATAGGGTCTAGGGCAAATCACCCTCAAACTGCTTTTTGAGTTGGAGAGCAACCCTTCAACAGCTCACAGCCCCTCCATTGCATCCAGTCCGAAGGGTTTGGCCATGGGTCCACAGCCTGCGAATGCTGGGTGCTGGGCTTCAATGTCGCAGCTTCCTCGATGGAAACTCCTGCCACCTGCGTTCAAATGGGTCAGCTTCGAAAGGGTCAAGTCATAAACACAGCACGTCCAATTCACGACTCCCAGGAAAAATCCACCTTTGATTCACCATGTGGGCTCAGGACAAAGATTCAACTAAACTTCCCATGTTGACCCCAGATTTCTCCCAGAACACGAAACATACACAGATTTTATATAACTCACACCAACTACCCAACTTGCCCAACTGGCGCATTCGTCAGGGCCTCTGGTAGGAAGTTGTCCTCCTGTCCAGTGGTGTCCTCCAGCTCATCGCTCTGCCTCAGAACTCTGAAGCCCTCTCTGTGCTCGTCGAATTAGTAGTGTCTCAAGCCGCAGTGCTTTGTTGCAGCTCCTCGTATGAGTAGAAGAGTCGTTTCAAGAAGTGATATAGTCTAGTGTACGCCATTGAAGTGTTCTTGGAATCCCAGTCGGGTCCTTTTACTTCTATACAATTGACAATTGGTGTCTTTGAAGCCCAGTTGGATCAGATTTATTGTGCATCAGCAGTACTAAAGCAGCAGTGTCACGTGTGTTTCTCATACGGCCCAAACGTCAGGTCACCCATGGTGGCGGTGAGTTTCCTGCCAACTTGCTGCTGATACGAGCTAAAGAGGAATCAAAGGAAGGAAACCTTTGTGCACATTTGGTGAATTCATCGGGACTTTTGTCAAATCTTGTCCACCTGTGTCTTGTGCATGTACATCGCGTGATCATGCGGCGTGATTCGTGATCCCAAAAAAGAATCCACAAGATCCAAAAAGAGGGAGGCCCAAAAACACGTGCGTCGCCCTCAGACGCGCGTTGCCTCGCCTCAGCTGTTGCTGCAGAACTGGGATGCGGAGGATCTGGCCCAGACTCATCGCCTCATAGTCCTAGCAGCTAGTGTGGCATGGCAGCAACGGGTCTGTGGGAGGGGTGGTAAATCACGGTTTGCCTAGAGAGTAAACATTGGTTTGCTTGGTAAACTTGGTTTAACATTGGTTTTCCAGTATGCATTGGACCCCAAGGCAGTTCGTGAGATGTTCTGAGTTGAGATGGAGGAAGTGAAGAGGCAGCGGCTCACTCAGCTGGGGTTTGGGGAACATGTACATCACCTGTCTGTTCATGTCGGCTTTTCCCCCCCGAAGACCCTATCAGTATATCAATCAGCCACTTGCCACACCTCTAGCAAAGTTCTTCATCCATCCCTAGTGTCCTTGCACTACCGGCACTACCACAGGTTTTCATGGCGATTGCTCTCCAACACCTTCCAAAGATCCTGTTCACAGCATATCACTCCCCCCACAGCTTCACTATGCTTCACAAAATTCGACTCTTGATTCATGAACCCTCCCATAATATGAAGAGGTTGTTCAATCAAAAAAAGGGGGGTCAAAAGGTTGTTCCATCAACATGAGTCTACATGATCTTCACTTCTCCTTCGCTTTGGCCGCCGCGGAGTCAATCTGCTGCAAGTTGGGCACCGGGAGTCGCACCTCAGATAAAGGCGACGCCCACTCTCTCCGGTCAGTGGCCCAACCAACCTCCGTGCCGACGCACAAGTTGCCAACTGGCTCAAAAATGACTCCAACAACTGTCAAGTTGGCACATCTGTGATGATCTGTGTGTATTCTGAGCTTCTTCTCCCTTCTCCCTTCCTATCCTTCCTCTCGCTGCTCAAAAAGAAAAAACACCCAGTCTTTCGCACACCAACGCCGCTCGTCCGAGCTCCGTGCAAACTGCGTCAACATCCGCACCTCGGGCGGCGTGTCGTTCCGCGCGTCGTTCCGCTCGCCCCCGGGCCGCGACACGGCCGCGATGCGCCCGTGACGCCGGCAGGCGCCAAGGTCGGGACCCCGAAGGAATGGGCCGCAATCGATGCGTGCATCGAAAGCCAAATGCCTGAGAGGCCAGGCCGTGGAAGTCGCTCGGGTCTGGGGATGGGGACAAAGGGGGTCGGACCATGGGTCGGATTTCACTGAATTTCATGGACAACAAAGGACCGAGAATAGCACAGCCATGCCGCCTGCCGCATGACCCGTCTCCCACACCAAGGGGAGATCCACTCGTTGGGCCCCCCCACTGAGGACGAAATAAAGCACGCCAGAGCCGCTGGTCGCGGCCAGAATCCTGATCGTTTGCGATCGGTTCTCGGTTCTGGAACCTTCGACCCAGCCATGCCATGCTATCCGAGGATGGGCAGTCGACTTCGATGAGATAAAAACAGTAAGAAGACGTCAGGCCCGCGCCAGTGCAGCCATAGCGGGGTGGAACCAGGTGATGGCATGCCCTCTGTGAACAGCATCACGCAAAACCTTTGAAATAGATGTTTGGTACTTCTGCTGGTGGTGCATGAGAAAAGGCAACAAGAAATCAATAAAAAGCGATGTCTGCACAGTTTGAGGCGAACACAGCAGTTGCAGGACGTTGATGACCATGTACACCTTCAGAATGCACTGCAATGGCACGATGAATCTTGCAAATGAAAAACGGTTGTTGTCATCTTGGACTGTCAATGACCAATATTTCCGGACTATATATATATATATATGTGTGTGGTATTAAGTTCAGCAAAACAAAAAGGAAGATCTCACCTGTACCGTACCCCCTTAATTACTATAGTCGTCTGCAGTGTCGGCCACGGCCCGTATGTTGTATATATATAATATATGCTTTTCTTGGTCAGCCCCAGAGTCATGTCATGTCCCCTCGGTCTTTATGGGTACCGATCACATGAGAAAAGGTCGGATGGAGTTCAGCTGCTTTTGTGGCACATCCATCGGACATGGCACATCCATCTTGGACACGGTGAGGTCGGTCAAGTCCCGAATGTCCTCGGATGCGGTGGATGGTGCGGGCGCCAAGGATTCGCATTGGAACGGTTTGGATACAGTGGTTTCAGAATAGATGGCACTGGCACTGGCACCCCAAGATGTCTGTTTTGGGGGGAGGTCCATATATAAACCACCATTTGGGGATTGCGCCATCAACTCTGAAACCACTGCAAGTGAGTTTGGGATGAATCTGCTTTTGAAAGATGAAAATAAATGAAGGGCAGCAAGGTGTTTTGTTTCTCTTGTTTTTTCGTTGCTTTTCCGACCGTCAGGGATTCGCATCTGCGAAAACTGGTCCCACGCCAGGGCTCCTCTCTGTAAAGCTCATGTTTTCGAATCTTCATCTCTTGGCTGAAGTAGACCCTTTCTCTGAACTGCTCCTGGCAGCTGCCAAAACTCCAACGGAAAAAAGACTGAAAGAAGCCAGCGCCCGCTCCAGCACTCCACACGCTTTCCACACGCGAGCAACACATCTGGATATTCAAGGATTCTCATCACACGGACCGCCTTGTCAAACATGAAGTTCTTCCGGTTGTAGCTGAGAACGCCAGCTGGCCGCGAGTGACATCCGAAACTCAACGCGTGGTTTCCACGACATTGCGAGCCGAAACGAGAATGAAAAGGAGCACCCGAGTGAAACGAGCGCTAAGCAACTCGGACGCGTTCCGAAGGGTTCCGAACGTAACGGGTTCCACCTCCAGCAGCGCCAGCGGCCAGCAACTCCATGGTACCTGGATGTACCTGGTGACCGAAAAAGGAAAGCATAGGAAAGCTGGATGTTTTTTTGCTCGGCAAAAGCTCTGTGGCGGCCTAGTTGGCGGCCTAGGCCCAGGTGTCCGTATGGTGTTAAGTGGTACTTTCGGCGCTGTTGGAGAAAGAAGAATATGCGACACATCAGACATCATCATACCGACATGCCGATGTTGTGATGTCGCTGCAATGTATCCTCATCTCCGCTGTGTCTGACGTACATTTCTCTTCCATCATTCCATCGAAGTTGGTTTTGGAACCAGATTGGACTTCCTTATATATATATATATATCTATATACACACACTTGACCTGAAGACCTTCCTCACCTTCACTCCGGACGCCCCACAAAACCATCTCACTCTCCTCTCTCGCCCTTCCTCCCGACGGTCACCGGCGACGCCACCGGCGCCTAGAAGTTCTAGGAGCGAATGTTGGGACCGTGGTCTTCTCCGTGTTGGGTCCGCGTGGTCGGCGTGGAGCGTGACGGTCAGCGTGGAGCGGTCGGTGGCGTCCAGTCGAGAAGAGTGGAGTCGAGTGATGTGAGAGTCGAGTTGCTTGTTTTGGGGCTGTTGATGTTGGTGATGGCGTGGTCGGTTCCTATCAATGATGATGTGGACATCTTGATGTTGTTGTTTGTTTTGGGGTGCTTGGTGGTTCTTTGTGGCAGTCTTGGGAGTGTGGGTGCCCAAGCTTCAGCACCGTTAGCGTCAACGATCGGTTGATTGATGTTGATTGACTTTTTGGGGACGAGGGGTTTCTGTAAGAGCAACACCAAATTTCCTGATGCAGCCTGCTGAAGCCGAGCTGCATGTGTCTCACCAAGCTGCTTGCGAGCAATTCTCCTTTTGTTGGAACTACACTGAGACTGATGGATTCCTGGCCCATCGCCACATGGCCAACCATCAACGAGTTGCTTCTAGAAATGTCCAGATGGAAACGTGTCCCACTTTCTCCCACCCTTCAGTTGAAAGCAAGCTATGAGAGATGCCCTGGTGCAGAGTCCGTTCCGAACGCTCTTTTGCGCTGCGATCTTCGCACCCGCAATGCTAGGAGCACACCGAAGCAAAGCCCTTCAGGAGCCTTCGTTCGCCTTCCTTCCAACTCGTGTGCCACTTTCGCACACAAGTCTTCAGAAAGCATTCAACACTGCCCAGATTGCGGGAGTTCTGAGGGTTGTTTGGGGGTGTGGATATGGGTGAGGCTAAAAGGAAAACGGTTCTCCTTCAACTTCTGATTTTCTAAATGTAAACAAGGCCTCTCTTTGTATTCAGAGCATGGAGGCAAGCGACAGCATCTGTCTGGAAAAGCCTGCCAGTCTGAGCTTGGGATTCTAAGCAAAACTCCTTGCTAGATGAAGGCGATGCCATTGTGAAAAGCAAAGAACACTGCGCAACTGCATGCCTCACTGCGACTCACAGATGGCATCCCTTCTAAAGCGCAAGAAGCCTTGTTCAGAGTCTGTGACATGAGCACGCTGCGAGTTTCTTCGACTCGTTGGATGCATCAAACGAGTGTGTGAACACTGCACAGGATCTGCGTTTTCGCCTTTGTACAATCCTTCAGCTCTTCTTCAGTCCCCAAATAGAGTTAGAATACGCTATATGTATATTTGTTGCATGGGAGATATGACTAACTAAGTGATCTATTTGGAGACCGCTGGCATTTCAAGCCGCTGAAGCTTCTCTCCCGCAGTCAGTCGTCCAGCTGCAACAAACAGGCCACACCACGCTTCGTCCAGTACTTCTCCGTATGCATCTTTGTGATCCTGAGTCGCCCCCGTTCAGGTCCGACGGTCCGACGGTCACCCCCTCTGCCAGCAAAGGCACTGAACCGAACCTGAACCGGGTTGCTCCCCCAACCTGAACGCCAACCTACCAATGATGACAGACCAGTTAGTCGATCCACACCCACAAGAATACGCGGACGGCCGGTGACAAGTCGTGCGGTAAACGTTCTCACTTCGACGATTTCACTTTGAAAAGCCGTGCGTGTGTGAAGCGTTCAAACCCGGAGAGATGGCTTCTCACCCGGAAGTGGCCGCAGAAATCCGTGCGTCGGTTCGTCAGTCTCTCCATGGTCGACATGCAGTTCTTCAGTCTGTCGTGTCGCACGTCGAGCTTCGGGAGCATCAGAGTCATCACGAAGTTCGTACTGTGCCCAGTGGTGGTGAGTGTGCCTTTGCGCCCGGACCTCGAAGCTGGCTGGAACGACCGCCGGCCGTTGGGAAGCACACTGAGGAAGCCAAAAAAGCACAAAAACACTTCGCACTCAAGGCACGTCTTGTAGAGAGGTGACGGGTACACGGCTTTTCTGTCGGTGGGGTCCTTCCGCAATCGCAAGGCAAAATTCTCTATACAATGTACAGTAGCTGACTATAAAGCAGTGAACAATACAACAAGTACTTCCAGGGTATTAATATGTTAATATGACAATATTATATATATAGAGAGTCATGTAGCGTCATATAGTTAGAACATGTTAGAACATGTAGAACTCGAAAAAAAAAAAAAAAAAAAAACACCAAAACAGGACGCTGTGCTCCTTGGTGGCCTCGCATGGCGTCAAATGGACGGTCGGCACGGCACCTCACAAAGAGAGTCCGGTGGACGAGAGTCCGATGCAGGGTGCAGAGCCTCCTCCGCTTCAGAACCTGGTCTGTTCCCCTGATGTTTTCCAATCATCAGATGTACAAAACCTTTGTGTGTGTGGACGCTCCATCCTGCAGTGGATGCAGGCAGGCTAGCAAGCTTAAGCTTCCGAAAGCTTCCAGGCAGCTTCCAGAAGCCAGGACATGTGAAGAGTGTGAACAGCCGGTCTTTCTGCAGTCAATTTGCTGAAGAGGACCTTTGGCAGGCTCTCTGCAATCACGCCCTCGGTGTCGTCCCAACCTGCGAAAACAGCGCACTCTACTGCGCACTCTGAAGATGTTAGACTCCCGTAAGGGGGGATGGATCAAAAGGGAATGGGTCCAAACCCGGAGCTCCAAACAACATGTAAGTCAAGATAGGTCAAGCAAGGTCTGCTATAGTTGCCAAATAAACCAAGGTACCAAGTTCAAGGGATGTTGAGGGTAGCGCATGGATGAGGGCCGCGAGTCGTGTTGACCAAGGTCTCCTAGTTTTGACCCACACATTTGACATCCTTCATTTCACTCTTCGAGTAGGACCAAAATGAAGACTTGCTTTTCTTCGGAGCCAAGGCCCAACAGGTGGCGGTGGTGTATACGGTGCCACGTAACCATCATGATTTCAGGGAGTATAAAACGAAATGGCATCCAGCATCCCTTTCAAGTAGTCACCATCACCTGTCACCCCACCATCACTTGTCCCCCGTTTTAGCCAAGCTGCGAGCTCCATCCATGAAGATTCCATATGCCAGGCAGCCCGTCGCAGGCTTGCTATGCTCCACCAACGCCTTGAGAACGGTGAAATTCCAAATCAGCCTTAGTGCGTGCGCTCAGCCAGTGTGGGAGACGCTTGGCCAGGGGCTTCCGGTCTAACCCAGAATTGTGCTCGGTGGGTGTGTCGCGGCCGCGCGGGAAGAAAAGCCTCATTGAAATCCCCTTAACATCCAGTCACCAAATTCCAGTGATGGTGCACCTGGCCGGCCATGGCCGGCGAAACCAGCAGTCACCGAGGCGCGTATCGATGGGCAACTTCTGCTTGCGGGCGTAATTCTGCAACTGTCCCGTGAGGAAGGACTGCGTGAAGTAAAAGCCTAGCAGCCGCAGACCGCAGACCGCGGGACTGAACTGGCCCCAGGGGTCAGAATCGGAACTTGACCGCGTGTGACCATTTAGGAAGCAACTGGATGTAACTGGTGTCCGCTACTCCACCTCTCCATGAAGCTTGAGATGAAGTGCTTCGGGTTCGTTTTCTGCTTCGTGGAGACCGAAGAAGGGGCGACTTCCCTCCGTTCCCTCCGTTCCGGGACGGCGAAGCACCGGAGATCGGAGATCGGAAAGCGGTGGTTCTCCGCGGTGGTGGCGCTCCACCGCCATCTACCGCCACTTGGGCCACGCGAAGGCGTGCCTGACAGCCAGTAGGCTTCAGGGGTGCCTTCATTGAGCCAGGTCTGAAAGAAGTTGATTCCTTGGATGCAGGAATCAACTACTGTGTGATTTCTCTGTCAAAACGTGCCGTCAGCACCGTAGATGGGTGACCAGTGTCTGATAACTCACTGCATGCCTGCATGACATGTCAAAAACGTTCACAAAAACACTACAGAGTTCTTCACGCTAAAGATTGTGCGAGCATGTGCGACCAAGTCTCGAGCGCAGAGATCAGCCACATAAGATACAAGTGGTTTCAGCGATGGATACGATACCTCTTTCCAAACCTCCGCCAAGGTCAGTCGTTTTGCTTGCAAAAAGTGGAACCAATGTGGAACAACTCCAAGGCCTTCCCCCTATGCTTCTATGGTCTTATACCCTCAAAAGTAAGTCAGCGCAGATGGCATCAAAGTAGGGACATCAAAAGAATAACAAAAAACAGAAAAACAAAATCACTAGGATGGGCCGCTGACCTCCAAGCAGTCTTACTTCTAGTGACTACTAGTGTTTCACCCTTTTTGTTCCAAAACCCAATGCAAACCCCTTCCCACCCCTTTCTGTGCTTTAACCTCCCCTCGGATCCCCCCGGGTTTTTTCTGGAGCAAACCCCCACCCCACCCTACCCTTCTGTCTTCTCGCCACGTTCCGTCACGTCTTCCCCATCCCCTTCACCACGTCTGTCGCCGGGTCGCCGAGGGCGTCTTGTCCGTCAGAATGCCATCGGCCACCTCTTCAAGTTCGGGACTCATCACCACCAGTCCTCCGCGAGGCTCGGGCCGGGTTTGGGATCCAGCTTGCCGGGCAAGTTATTGACAAATGAAGGAATACAGGAATACATGAGGAAAACAAAAGGATCTAAGTCCAAGCGTTTCAGGCAGTCAAGGCTTCCCAAGAATGTATATAAACAGCTGCCGTTCGAGCGTTCCCCAGTGCAATGCCAGGGGACGAAAACCGCGCCAAACCACGCCCGCCCGGTATCACTCGGTGCTGCCCAAGTGGCCCTTCACCGCCTTTCTCACGTCCGTCAGGGTGCTTCGCACTTTGATGATGAGTCGATTGAAGCGCAGTAGCTCCTAGGCCGCCGAGAAATGAGGCCAGGGACTGGGCTGAAAAAATACCTGGGTCAGTCACTAGTTCATGTTGATGAAATGCTTAGGTGCTACTGCAATGAACTTTGACACTTTGTCCCAGTCGATTGGGTTCAAAAGTCTCAAAAGAAAGCACTGTTTTTTGTAGGTTGCAGTAACCGCGGCAACTCTGTTGTGGCACTCAGGGCCACTCATGAAGTGTGAGGAAAGGTACCAGAAATGCGAAGTTTCACGAATACATTAAAATGTCGTGGATTCAGCTTGAAACTGCAAAAACATGGAGGAAGCAACTCTTGAAAAGTATAAACCATAAACCCACTCCAGGGTCTGAAGCTGCCATCGCCTCTTTTTCATAGGTTACTCCGTGCTCTGACTGCTCCAAGACTGGTTTCCACAGGAGACCCCCCCTTCAGATCCTGTGAGCTGCCATCACGTCTCCTTCCTCATGGTGGGGAAAGATGCCGAGGTATGCGTGGTCGGTTTTTGCACTGAGTACCAGAATGTATAATCTAAGTAAGCGCAGCCGTCGTTGATGAAACTCCCACATATGCAACCTCAAGCTCTGCCACCAGTTAGTTTCCGGCCAAGGGCTGCCAATCCTCATGGTTTCCTCTTAGTCCTCCTACCTCCAAATCCTCATCCTCATCCGGGTTGCGAAAGCATGTCACAGTCAAGTGAAACTGGTCGGCGGATGATATTCCAGAAATTTTGCGGGGCAGTCGGTCGTCATGGTTGTCTAGTACTAGTACTAGTACTAGTAGTAGTAGTAGTAGTAGTAGGAGTAGGAGTAGGAGTAGTAGTAGGAGTAGTAGTAGTGGTAGTAGTAGTAGTAGTAATAGTAGTAGTAGTGGTGATAGTAGTAGTAGTAGTAGTAGTTAGTAGATAGTAGTTAGTACTATGTACTATGCAGTAAGTAGTGAGTAGTAAGTTTTAAGTTTTAAGTAGTAAGTATACAGTAGTATATTATAGTAAGTAGTATGTAGTAAGTAGTATGTAGTAAGTAGTATGTAGTGAGTAGTAAGTAGTAACTAGTAACTAGTAAGTAGTAGCTAGTAACTAGTGACTAGTAAGTAGTAAGTAGGTAGTAGTAGTCGTCGTCGTCGTGGTCGTCGTAGTCGTAGTCGTAGTCGTAGTCGGTAGTTGTAGTTGTAGTTGTAGTTACAGTTGCAGTTGTAGTAGTAGTCGTCGTCGTCGTTGTCGTCGTCGTCGTAGTAGTAGTAGTAATTAGTCGTAGTAATTAGTAGTAGTGGTAGTGGTAGTAGTAGTAGTAGTAGTAGGAGTAGCAGCAGAAGTAGTTGTAGTAGTAGTTGGTCGTAGTAGCAGTAGTAGTAGTAGTGGTAGTAGTAGTAGTAATAGTGGTAGTAGCAGCAGTAGTACCCTAAGTCACCGAAATTAGTAAATATACATTTTCATTGGATTTACGTAAGTTGATGAATTTAGGTGGCAAAAAGTGTAAATGGGTTAGTAAATGTAAATTTGATTTAGGTACAACCTAAATTTATTTAGGTTGGTCTTCACTAAGGGTTTTCCTATTTTTTCATTACGTTTTGATTTGCAAATATTCAAAGCTGCATCTAAAACACATCTTTTGAAGAAAGTAATTTGTAAAACATATAGCCACAAGTAGAGACACTTGGATAAAACCACAAGCACACACACTCAGGTATAAGCACGCAGGAAAGACAAGCACAAGAAAAATATCTTGGGTATAAGCACCATGAGCTTTCCATCCTTTGTCCTGTCCAGGACTTGGTTCACTATCTTGTGCTGTTCTTCTGTGCGTCCCTTCTTCATGCTCAAGGTCTTCTTCCAAGCCTGCACAACATAGTCTGGCAGAGAGCCCTCAGACAACAAGGCCTTGAACTTGTTGTCCTTCGACCTGTCCTTCTTGGCCTCATCGCACTCGAAGAAGTCTGCATTGTCCTGCTCCTCCTCCTCCTCCTCCACATTCTCTTGGTTCATCCTCTTCAACTTCTGGTGCTTCCTCCTCCTGATCCTCCTGCAACCCTGCTGCCCAGCCATGAGCTGCTGGCTTCTTCTTTGGCTGTACGGTTTCTCCACTGGCAGCAGGCCTTTTAAAAGAGCCTGCCTTTGGCTTTGGCTTTGGTTTGCTCTTTCCTTTTGCTTTGGGCTTCTTCCCTTTAGGGCTCTTTGCTTTTGGGCTCTTGGATTTTGGGGTCTTTGCTTTGGAAGCTGGCCTTTGCTTCACAGGTGTACTGGGCTCTTCAACTACACCATCGTCCTTCTCCTCAGGAGTGACTTGGCCCATGGGGATCTCTTCCTCTGCCATGCCAATGCCAACAAGCTACTGCGCCTATCTTTCAAACCTTTCAAAGCTCTTTGAGATCAATCTAGCTGCAAAAGTAAACAACAACCAATAAGCCAGCTGTGCAGTAAACTCTCAACAACTTCAATTTGAACAACATACAATGCTGATCAACTCTTTGTGCAAAAGCATTACCTTCTCAGGTAAAGGATAAACCAACTTCAAATTGAACAACATACAATGCTGATCAACTCTTTGCGCAAAAGCTTTACATTCTCAGGTAAAGGATAAACCAACTTCAAATTGAACAACATACAATGCTGATCAACTCTTTGTGCAAAAGCATTACATTCTCAGGTAAAGGATAAACCCACAAGAATGCTAGATATCTTTTTGCTGACAATATGATGCAGAATATCATAGCTTTTCATAAAATCTGTCAAAAAATTGTATGAATTTTTGATGCACTTTTGATGCACTTCTGATGTATTTGTTAAAAGTGTATACACTTTTGATCAAAAGTGTATACACTTTTGAAAAGTACATCAAAAGTACATCAGAAGTGCATCAAAAGTGCATCAAAAGTTCATCAAGAATTCATCAATATTTTCTCTTAAATTTCTAGTTTTTTGAACTAAATTTCATAAATACATATCAAATACACTTCAACTCACAACAAAACTAAACAAGACTAAGCGCACAATTCCAAGTTGAATGGCGTCCTCATGTAAAGTATACTTACACAAAGTCTCAACCACTGAAGTAAAATACACTCAAGTAAGACCATCCTCAAGTAATGTCTGCCATGCTCAAGTAAAGTGTGCCATGCTCAAGTAAAGTCTGCCATGCTCAAGTAAAGTGTGCCATGCTCAAGTGAAATCACATCCTCAAGTAAAAGCTCAACAGGTAAAGTCACACCCTCATGTAAAAGCTTCTCAAGTAAAGTCAGACCTTCTTCATGTAACAGCTTCTCAACATCATGTCACAATGCGTGCCCTCAACTCTACCCCAAAGGCTGCTTGTGTCTTTTTCACTCCAAGGATTCCAGAGATGAACTGCTGTCATCTTGCAGCGTCCTCATCAAGTCCATCGTGGCATTGATGCGGTCACGCCTCCTGACAATGGTTTCAAGCCAACATTGACATAACTCTTGTTCATTTGCTGCATTAATTTTCAACAAGCAAACTTGTTTAAAGTTCAGTCCAAGAATCTTGTCAGCTTTGCGCTTTCACTGCTTGTTTCCTTCTTGCTGAGGTGTCTCTTGTTCTTCTTCTTTTTCTTCTTCTCACAGAGCCAAAAGATCTCTCACATAAAACATGCACCCTCACACTGGCAAAAACCATCAGAGAATCAGAGATGCTCTTCTTCCTAAAGTGAAGAAAAGTACATATCCTCAAGTAAATTTACTCCCTCAAGTAGACACCCTCAAGTAAAAATGTTTTGTTCAAGTCAAGAAGGGTACACATGCTCAAGTAAATGCAATCCCTTCAAGTAAAGGCAAAGTCCACACCTCCTGGCATGCTCAGTCAACAAAAACAAAAATCCATAGCGCAAATATCCTCAAGTACATGTTGTCCTGTAGAAAACCTGCCTCTTTGGAGAAAGCCAACTCACATAAATAGAGACATTTTCTGCTTCAAAATCATGCTCGCAAAAATTTACTCAGAACCTAAAAAATTTACTAATAACCTAAATTGGATTTACTAATAACCTAAATTGGATTTACTCATAACCTAAATTGGATTTACTAATAAATTTACGTAAAATTTTACGTAAATTTCCCTTAGTAAAACCAAAAATTTACGTAAATTTTATGGTTAGTAAAATTACTAATTTGGGTGACTCAGGGTAGCGGTAGCGGTAGCGGTAGCGGTAGTGGTAGTGGTAGTGGTAGTGGTAGTAGACTAAAATGTCCCAAGCCCTAAACTTCGTAGGTAGAGTTAAACCTTAAAATCTTTAGGGTTGCAGCTACAGGGAAATTTAGTCTACGAAACTCTTGTCAATTAAGCTCAGCCCGAACAGGTTCAGCCGCAGCCCTTGGGGAAGTTGATGATGTTTGACAGGCGCAACCATTAAAAGAAATGACGATGGTGATGGTCTTGAGTTTTGACGCCCTCCTCAGCAGTCTCAACCGTCTTTGCCTCCTCTGCTGGCGCAGCCTCCGGTTGATCAGCGGCATCAGCGGCCGGAACAAAGCAAACAAGGAGAGGCATGAGCACGAGCACGCAGCAGAAAGCCCACCTGAACAGCGTACATGTATGTAAGGCACGCCACAGCCGACAAAGACACCGTGAGGAGCTCGTAGACGCTGAGCGTCTTGTCCCTCCGCCCTTCGCCCAGATCAACGCACCAAATGAAGTCCGCAGGCGCGTCTTCCACGTCAATGTTGACTTTCCTTGATGGAAGCAGCCTTGTCGCTGTACGGGCTTGCTATCAACGCATTGACCCCAACCTGTCACACGCGACCTCCTGTAAGCCAGCCAGTACATTGACGGCACGGCCGCCGGCCATCTGGACCTGGGCCACCCACCAGCGAACATAGTTCTCCATAAGGCGTCGATAAGGCTGTAGCGTCTTCGCCTTCCTATCTTTGGCCACATTCTCAGTGGTCATCAACTGGTCAGTGATACTAGCCTTGTATTGCGTGGCCGCAAAGCTCGGCGTGCAGCTGATCCTTACTGATTAGCGGCTCCAGTGGGCATCAACATACATGACCCGGCGAACGCTCAGAAGTTTGTTCCTTTTGCCACTATTCTCTGCATCCAATAATGTTGACTTCTTATTGTTAAATGGCCCGTGAATAATACTAAGTGTTTTCAAAACAAACTATAAATGGACACCAAAAATACTAATTTTTTGGGACCATGATTTTCAGCTGCTTCCAGACCTTGATTCAATCAAACTGATTCTGAGCTTTCAGTTGTTTCCAAAATTTGATTCTTTTGGCCGTTTGCTTTACAATTCTTTTGGATTTCCTGTTGGTTGAAAAGCGTTAGGGATTTGAACGCAATCCTTTCTGGATATCTGATTTGGCTGCTGCACTTTCCTTTTAAATTTGCTTATTTGGGCGTTGCCATTCGTAACCTGAAATCAACCCACAAAGACCACCCCCCACAAGCAGCCCAAACCTTCAATTACTCCGGACCTCAAACAATACTAAACAATCTCTGCCTGGCTCTTTTGGCGGTTCCCTTTACAATTCCTTTAGAATCCCTTTTGGTTGAACAGCTTCAGCTTTATTGAAGGCAACCCTTTTGGCTGCTGCATTTTCCTTTCAACATTACATTGCTTACTTGGAAATTGCCATTTGCAACCTGAAATCAACCCACAAAGGCCACCCCACACAAGCAGCCCAAACCTTCAATTACTCCAGACCTCAAATAATACTAAACAATCCCTGGCTGGTTCTTTTGGCGGTGTCCTTTACAATTCCTTTAGATTTCCTTTTGGTTGAAAGGCTTTAGCTTTATTGGCGGCTATGGTTATTTAGGCTCAGCCCTTTACAATTCCTTCAGCACTACTTACATTGATTGCTGTCATTTTCCTTTCCTTTCCTTTCATTGTCCTCCTTTCCTTTCATGTTCCTTTCATGTCCTTTCCTTTCCTGGAATTTTCCTGTCACTTCCTTTTCTTTCCTTTCATTTAAACGCAAATCCGAATTTAAAATTTTCTTGAATTTTCTGCGGTTCAAATGATTTAGGGCCCGCACTTGATCAACGGGGGAGGGGGGGGTTATTCAGAGGTGGACATTAGCAGGACCATGAAGAGCTGGTCATGACGATTGTCATAGATCGCCCTTCAATCCTTATGGCCCTTCTGCTCCGGTGCAACCGCTGGCTTGCTGCCACTCTTTGTAGTTGTGCGCAGCCTCTGGTCAAGTTGGATGACCTCATACAACAACCATTCAATACGACGCGTCCGTCGCCAGGAACTCAGCGAATGAAAAATATATATACAACAACCTCTGCCGCCTCAAACTCGGTGAGTTAAGAAGGGCCAACAGCGCACGTGCTTAATATAAGCAGTAAGCCTATCAACTTTTTTATTACTTAACGCAATCAGCAATCACGACTGCCGATCACCTTCAGTCTCTGCTTCAACAACTCAATCACGCTCCAATTCAATCTCTTCATCAATCCCACGATCCAATTCAATCACGCTCTTCCCTTTTCATTCTCTTCTTCTCTTCATTCTCTTCATCAGAACCCATTATTTTGAGGGGGGGCCACCTGCCAGCTTCTCCGGATAGTGTGCGGCCACGCCGCCCACTTCCGGAACTACCGATGTTGTTCTTTCCGGTTCTTTCCATCCCAAAAAACGAGAGAGAGAGAGAGACAGAGAGACAGAGAGACAGAGAGACAGAGGGACAGAGAGACAGAGAGAGAGAGAGAGAGAGAGACAGAGAGAGAGAGAGAGAGAGACAGAGAGAGAGAGAGACATAGAGACAGAGAGAGAGAGAGACAGAGAGACAGAGAGAGAGAGAGAGACATAGAGACAGAGAGAGAGAGAGACAGAGAGACAGAGAGAGCGAGAGAGAGAGACAGACAAAGACAGAGAGAGAGAGAGAGAGACAGAC